ATATATATATATAATATTATAACTGAATGTGTTAAGACACGCGATGTGCCGTAATAATAATATTGGCGAAAGAAAAGCACGTACGATCTTCCAAAACATCGGTGGGTGTATATATGTGGACATATCATAATCGCTTGACGCATTGCAATGTTGCAATTATTAAACATTATGACGTTATCAACTGTGATACAATATACTTTCATTTCGAATATTTTTTTTCAATTTTGCAATTACGGTATACTGTTTATGGATATCAAAGGAGCAATGGTAATCTCTTGAATTAAAAATAACATTTTGTTATTTTTAATTTCCATATGTAAAACACACAATCCATTTCCGTAATTTTAAAGTGTAAATCTATCTATTTCTGTAGTTACAAAGTAAACATAATGTCCATACTAACGTATACACTTAGTAAATAACAAACTAGATTTATGTTAAATGTAATACTATTCTTGAGTTGAATTGTTTAACTCTATTGTTTTAGTTAAATTAACAATATATTGAGTAGAAACAATGGCGAGCTATAGAAACAGTTAAAAATAATTCAAATTGGATGTAAAGGAAATTGAAAATAAATTTGATATTAACAATGAATTTAACAATGTTTAAGTTACATTAAATTGCAAGCACGTAAAAAATAATTCTAAAATTGACATAATCGATCTTGAACATTTAATTAAGATTTCGGATATTTTATTTAATTAAGATTGAAATGTTAATTAATGTTCTTTTAAATTTTTTTTAAATAAAATGAGCGTCAAAATAAGATTGTGATGAAATATTTCGGCTCATTAAAATAATTCAGTCTTAGCAACTTTGATCGACAGCTAATCGCTTGTTACGCGTGGGAGAGCAATTTTCCATTGCCGTTACGTAGGAAACGAAGCAAGCGTTTACCTCGCTGGTTGATACGACGAGTGAGTCACAAACGCGATATGCTGTGGCCCTGAGAATATTAGTCTCTCATTATATTATATCTTATTTCGAAAACGACTGCGGATTACATGTCTTACAAGTATCCAGTATTTATTGTCTCATTATTATCCGTTAATTGATTGAAATTCATTTTTTGATTACAAAAATGTTTTCTATTTATAAATTTGTCTGTTTATTGCACTTTTTAATAATGTCATCGTGACTATCACTATTGAAAATATGTTACTCACTTTGAAAAAATAATCCTCTAAACAAACATCACGTAAATGTCACGCAATCGAAAGAAACATGACAAAAACGACGGACTGCAAGTAATTTACAAAACATAATCCATGATGTGACAATAAAACGTTGTCGGTGGGTAGGCGAAAGTATCTCCGCTGTTGCATGACACTGGAGGCCATTTTGATGCATCCAACCGCGCTCGCATATGCGTTAACACAGGTGTTTGAAAAGTACAGGTGATGCCACTTCACAGATATTGACGCATCTCTCGATGAAATCGGACGTAACCAATGGACGTAAACCAACGAAACGAAACACATTTCTATTCAAAAAAATCCTCGATTCAACCTTAATAAACCCTGTACATTCAAACTGTACGAATTGCTAATGAATTTCTACATTCCTTTGCGACCTTTCTCAAAATCAGATAGTTATACATTTTTCGTCTAGCAATTACATTAAACACAATTTATATAAATTAAATTAAAGTTATTCTTTTTTTATAGCGACTGCTGAGGAATTATTTTAATTTTAACAATAATATATTTTTAACAATAATATATTTTTAAAAAGTACACGAGAATATTTAAAGTCTAAATTACTAAACCGAATTGTATATTCGAAAATTACTATTCGAAGTTACAATTTACAATAAGATATTTTATATCAATTTTAGTATCTAATTTTTAAATATTTTAGTATATCAAAATATAATTATATTTTGATAATCCAATAAAATTATGTTCAGATCAATATTTAAATAAATTTTTTAATAACTTGTTAATAAAAAGCTATCCTTTTCGTGCATGAACTCGAACTAGATTATGTTTCTCACTCTGGTTGTCTTTATATATCAAGATGTTTAAAAATTGCAGATTACATTCCATCATACATGTACTGTATTACTGTCATACATGTACTGTATTATTTCGTTCGCTAAAGAATGACATATATAAGAATGTAATTAAATTGTCGTAAAGTCTTTTTGTTTGGAATTGTAACAGATTTTATAATTGTATCGTCTAACGGATTTTTTGACTACGGATTCTTTTACATTAAAATATATAGTTCCTTGTAGTATTTTATTATATATGTATTCTTTAGAAAATAATATTTACAAATCAAATATATAACAGATGTCTCTTCATAATGCTTTTAGCGCCACGAACATGGAGCCTTATCGACGTATACTTTTCGAGTGCCGTTAAGGATCATCATGAGCATCGACTATGGAGAGAGTCACGATTGTGTCCTAGATCCGTGATTCGAGATAAAGAGAGAAAGAGAGAAAGAGAGAGAGAGAGAGAGAGAGAGAGAGAGAGAGAGAGAAGAAGAAGAAGAAAAGCAAAAAGGACAATTAGAAAAAAAGAAAGAACATCAAATCGGTTGGCGAATTCGATTAAATCCGCTGCGCATTAGAGCCGATATTGCTTCGATTAAGTGTTACTGGAGGTGACTGTAAACAGCATGACATTGATAGTGTCAGTTATCGTTATTCTATCCGTCTTGGCTAATGTCTTGCTAGCCGACCTCGATCCTCGGGGTACCAGGTGTGGCGAGATACTTTGCAACATCTCGCAGTATTGCAGTCCCTTCGATCTGCATTGCAAACCATGTGCAGATGCATGTAACGCCACGAGTCACAATTATCAGCCAGACGAGTGCAAGAAAGACTGTCAATGTGAGTAGTAAGTTTTTGTGTAAAAGATTAAAACCTTGAAAATACAATTAGTTGATTTATTAATTATTCAACAGTTAGAAAATGAAAACTTTTAAATGGTTAAGCTGGATCTGCTTAAATAATTCAGTGTAAATTTATATTCATATCTACATCGAGAAAAATGATTTTGCTATGAATGCAAAAGAATTGCAAAGTTTAATTGTCAAATTTGTTTGCTGTTTATAGCAAATAAATTTGCTATATATTTGGCAAATATTTTGCATTACAAATAATTTTTGTAACGAATACAAAAAAGGACAAATATTTGTAAGACCTGCAAATAATTTGCGATCCCTATATTTGCAAATGGAATTTGCCATTATGACGTAAGATTAGCGTTCATAGTAAATTTTTTCTTTCCGTGTAATCGTACAAATTTTGTGCCGAAATTTAATTTTCAATTTTGAAACGCAATCTTAATAATTAGAGTAATAACATCATAAATTAAATTGACAAGCAATTTAATTTATGATAATATTGATGCTCATAGCATCTTACAATTAGAAGGATATTAGAAGGATAAATTGAATATTCATAATAAGCATTTTAAAAGCATTTACAAAATAATTTTTGTATTATTGTACGATTATTATCTTTTCACTGTTAAAGCGATTTAAAATTTCATAATTAAATTTATTGCGTAGTTTCAGTCAATCGATTATAAAGTTCGCTTTAAATATTTTCTTACGAAAAAATATATCGAACTAGGCGTTAGCGATCCGAAATGATTTAAATTGAGTGTTAATTAAATAAATCTTCCAAATAAACCTTCTTGAAGATTAACACTTAATTTGAGTGTTATTTCGGATCGCCAATGCCTAGTTCGGTGTATTTTTTCGTAAGGGTTAAAATGTACATAAAATATAGTCTTTTTTACAATTAGCTTTTGCTCAAAATATCTTTGACAAAATACTAGAATTTGCGCACATCGGTATGAAAGTGTCCAAATTTTAATCGGCGGAAAAATTAACGTTCTATATTTTACGAATTTGAATTTACTTATACGATTTTTCCTCTTATCCAGCGTTTGTCATGTATCGCGGTACGATGTCCTGATTTCTCGTTTTCACGCATACGGGAAACTGGATAGCAAGTAGGTACGGTGCCATCGTTCACTTCTGTCGAGCGTAGTGAGCAAGCAAACCAAACCCGGGCTCTCGGGTCCGTTGACTTTGCACCTGACTGTTCCTACCGACTTCCCACACGCGAACGCGGTCGATGAGTCACCTAGCTTCTTTTCTTCCTCCCTCTGGCCTCTCCGCCGTCCTTTTTCTTTCAGCCTCCTCGGGCCCTCCCTATCCTCCTCTTCGTCATTTTTTTTCTTCCATTCCTGCTTAGTATTCAACATCGGTTCCGTAATGGGGAAGGGGAGATGTATTTCATGCTCCGACAGGTAGGAGAAACTGCGGCTTCGCTCCTTCTTGGGACGCGCGAAGAATGAAATTCTCTGCCTTTATATCAAAGGATGCTCTTTTGCTTGACGGGGAGAGGAAAAGGGGAAAGGGGATTTGATTTGACGTGTGTAGCTGGTTCGTACGAAATTATCCGTGTAGAGTTCTGTCGGGCCCGCGTCTGGTTCCCCATTGAGAGACCCGTTATGGTGTCCGGTTACATTATGTCGGTAAACTCAGTTCGGACTTATATACGATTTCTATGTTGGGGGAGAACTTGTTGACTCTATGTGTTGGGTAATAAACGTAAAAATGTTCAATGAAATAAGAACTGGGAAAGACATGCATGGAAAGACATTCTTTTTAGGAAAGACATTCATTCTAGGGTATTCAAGAAATTTGTAATCGATGAATGAAGATTGCTCTAAATTGTAATGTTTGTATGTTTGTGGAATTCTAATAAATCATTTTTCAAAATTGCGACAATTAATGATTCAAATATTACAGCGTACCACATAATTTTATCTTTGATAACTGATATTATTCTGAACGATTAAATATCTCAGTTCAGAGTATTCTTTTCTTTATTTGCAAATTTTATCCAACACGACTAAAAGCTCGCGAATCGATCCATGTAAACATCGTCCCAGGTCTAGATTCGTTTCTCTTTTGGAACGGGGTCATCTTGCATTTATAGTCGGCATAAGACATAATCGCACTCTCACGTGCTAAGCACCGTAGGTCGGAATTGTTTGTGCTGTTAGTTGCTATCGCGACCGACTCTGCAGCCTTACGCAAGCGCGCGAGAACTTTTTGAGAGGTATACGATTGATTCGAATAAGAAGAGAAGACGAATGTTGAAGTGTGCTAGTAGCAGATCGATTGCGCGTTAAGTTGAATTAATTTTATAGAAACTTTTTTTTAATTTGCTCGGAAGGAGTAGATTATACAGGGAAAAATTCCGACGGAAAATAAAAATAAATGTCTAAGTATGTCAATAAAACTGATACATCTAAAATTTCCTTATATGTTAGATATTTCTAATTATAATTATATATTTTTTACGCAAATTTTTAATAACGTTTATCTTTCTTATTTTAGAACTATATATATTATATTTTTGAACACACTATTAATAAAGATTGTAATATGTATTAATATTATATTTATTAAAATATTATTGCAATAGTATTTAATATGATATACACCATATTTATAATAACTGTTATTCTTAAAACTGTAATTGATTCGACTTTAATGTGAGCACGCACACACTCTCACACACACACACACACACACACACACACACATACACATACACACACACTATCATCGAGTTTTTCTCTCACATATCTAATAATAATGGTAAACAATTATAGTTTTAAAACAATTATAGTTGGAGAAATCTTCGAGTTTGTAGCGTCGCTAATAATATGTTTTTTTCGTAACGCTTTCTAAATAAATATTTGATAATCTCAACAAGAAACGTTAATAAAACATTCATAATGTTGAAATTGTTAATGTTGAAATATCTCGAGTACATTTTAGATAAGTTTACCCAATAAATACAGTACGAATGCGCGAAATATTATATTAATTATTAGTCGCTCCTTCTAATTTCAGTTTATCTTCATGATCAGCGCTATATTCAACGCATGGATCAATCAAGACAGTATGATGATCTCAGAGGTGAGTGGGCTTAAGTGCAAATAGAATATGTACATAATTTTATTGCGAAGTACTGTACGTCTTGAGAGAAGTCGAACCAGTCGGAGATTTCAACGACGCAAATCTCGCACAAGCGTCACTCGGCTTATAATTCTTGCGCGAGTACCGCTTAATACACAGTCGCGAAAACCGGTAATTTATTGTTGCAAATGTCTCGTAACTATTTTTATTACTTATATTATTAGAAGTATAAATTTTCATGTATATTTATAGTCAAGGTACATTATATAAATACTTTTTCAAATAATTTCAAAATATTCAGGAAATTTCAATATTTTATCTTTAGTCTTATGTCTTGTATTGCCTTATATAATTCGCGATTAGAAAAAAGTAATTGTAAGCAATTTATAACATATTTATATTAATGTTTCATACTAACGTTGATTTTTCCTTTCTAATATAAGAGAACATATACTTTACTTAAAGGAACATGCGCAACTTTCACTTTCGAGGATTTAACGAGAACAGATATTAGATATGCTTGTGTCTTTCTTAAAATCAGCGATGTATTACGAAGCATAATAAACGATTATCACATAAATAATTAATTCCCAGTTTCTTTCAAATTATTTATATTCTATTTGTTAATGTGTGAAATTAAATGCGCAAAAATTTTTAATGACTATATTATCTAAAAAATAATCTTTTTCTGAAAAAAAAAAACGTCATTATTATTTCTTATATATAACAATTTCTTATATTAAATTAATATATAACAAATATTTCTTATATATAACAATTTCTTATATTAAATTAATATATAACAAATATTTCTTATATATAACAATATATAACAATTTCTATAATTAATGTGAGAAATTGGTTTCGAAAATAGATCGAATATGTCGCACTAACTGTTTCAATAATCCTTAGAAAATTTTTATATTAGCCATAAAATTTTCTTTTACAGAGGAGATCGAGAGGCTTAAATATAGATTCGTGATCACAACGATTTTGACCTGTTTCTCACTGCTCGGAATGTTGTATCTGCTGGCAAGGACCTTAATACGATGGAAAAGGATTCAAGAGTCCTTACAAACTATATTTCGAAAGAATATAAAAGTGAAGGTGAGAATTCACAAGAATAGATCTTTTCAAAAAACTTTTTCTTGATATTACGATAGATTTTTTTATAATTTAAACGTGCAAAAATAAAATAAAATTTATCAATTTAACAAATACAATTAAAAATTTAGTCCCCTATGCAAAAATGATAAAAAATTCTTATATTTTCTTATTTTAATTTTTTAAAACCGCAAGCGACAATTACGACAAATTTAATGATTTCTTACGTGACAGTTGCGAGTACTATGACGTCTTAATTATCTTGTTGCTTCAGCAGGCTAATAAGAACAAAGTGCAAGATGACGTCGAGGCCGCGACCAATAAACAAAATGGTCTCAAGTTGACTATACCAAGCATAAGTGCCACGGTGGAACAAGAATCCAAAATCGAGAATAATAACAGTAGTAGTAATAGTAATAGTAATGGGATTAATACTACACCGAACACCACGAGCACTCCTCTCTCACGACGGCATGCTAGCGAGGATACTACTCTCGATTATGCTTACGATAATCCGGCGATGACACCGAGCCCGGACTCCGCGCAACTTAAGACGAAGGCTCGCGAGAGTTCGTTTTAAGATTATGGGTATTTATGATAAGAATATATATACGCAGGATCATTCTCGACTTTACTTGAAAAAGTATAAATCTTGAGGTACTTAAAAAAGAAAAGCATTGAGAAAATAAATATTTGCTAGTTCTAAAAATACATTTTATGAAAAAGTGAACAAGATATACATATCTAGAATATTGAGGAAAAGATTTCTTTATCAGAAACTTCGATAATTCTGGTTTAAGTGGACAGGAAAATGAAAATAAGAGAAGGTGTACGCGAAGCGTATAGGCGTAAAATGTGACGTGGCTATTCTGTCTTGTTCTGTGAATACATTGAGATGTATAAAATTTTTCGCGTTTTTACAACGTTTTTCGAGCTACATTGTTAATACATATTGGAATGTATGAGCGATTACTCAATGAGAAATCACTCAATGCATCGTTTTGTCTTTTTTAAATGCTCTCGCAATTTTACGTACGTTGAACAGTTTTTAAGAATGATATTCATAGTCGATAGTTCTATGAATGACCACAGATCATAGAGAATAATCATATTTCTACATAATTATTTTTTATTCTCGATAATCCCTGAATCATTAAACGCCAAGTCATGAAACATGTGATTTCCTGATATTTTGATGACTTGGAGAAATGATCTGTTGGTGCATGGCTCATTTTCGACGTATTAATTACATTTTGATGGAAGAAGTATTTGAAAAATAACGTTTATGTAACTTTTACATCGAGACTATAAACGTTGTCTTAATAGATCACTTGTACAGTTATAATATAGTAACGTAAGTTTTGGAGTGACTCGTGAATGCGTGTTACGCCTCCGCGAACCATGCGGCTGTGTGACTTAATTAAATAGTTATTAACGCGACATGCTCGCGAGACATAGACGCGCGCGGTGCAATCTTCTCGACTTTATCTTCTTGATCTTAAACTGCTGGTGAAACATTAGATTCCGTGAAATTACTATAATAACTCCAATACCTTCGTCTGTTAGATAAGCTGTAAATGTCCCTAAAGTTATCCTTTTGCTAGTTCTTTAAATAAATTTTTTAATTTATTTTATAATTATTATCTTCTATTGATAAAGGCTTTATGCATTGATATTTACTGTGATTAAATTAATTCCATTTACAGATGAAATTAATGAATGATTAATAAAAAAAAAATTCAATATTTTTTACGAAATTTTGTTCATAGTGTTTTTACAATTGCTAAAATTATATCAATAGCCCGCATTAAAGATCGACGATTGAAGAGCACATAAATTTTATTGTATTATGCACAGCGCGCGTCCATTTAGAATTTTAATAATAAATATTTTAAGAAATCGCATCCTTATCAGCCATTCCGTCCATGAAAGGCCTTCCGAGCAAACGTGTTGCGTATAAGGTCGCGCACATTGCATAGGTCAGTGACGTTGCACGCAAGAACGAAGGGAAATCGATAACAATTTTATTGCAAACCGCGGTGAACTGACACAATGCATTCTTGTGAAATTCCGCGGCAATGTAAATTCAAATAATAGCCATTAATCTTGATAAAAATTTTAAAAAATATTTACATACAAATACAATTTGCTCAAAGCAAATGTGCTCAATAATCACTTACTTCCCAAAGAATGTTTTATTTTTATCGATTGGGAGAAAGTATTTGATTAATGCTCAATTTTAAGTGAGTATTTTAATGAGAAAATTGCTCAAACTTGTAAATTGTCATTAATAACGTTTTAAATAAATTTTGCTTTAAATTAATTTATATTTTAAATTTAAAATTTTAATAAATTTTAAATAATTTTCAAATGAATATAGAAATTAATTTAAAAAGATTAATTTAAAAAGTTTCAAGTTTACTTATTTTTTCCGAATCTCTTCTACAGACTAATAAAGATTTATTACAGAGAGAAAATTAATAATTCTTTATAAAATTTCCAATTATATTTCATATACTTATCAATTAATTTTATAATCAAAGAATATGAGATTTAAAAAAATGACTATTTCAACAATCAAATAAAAGAATTTATGAATACATATGTATTATATTAATGTAAAATACTTCATCTTCGTGTTGCAACAACCGCTGACCTTAGATTTAATCATTTATACATGATTCACTTCTTAGCGATTAGTCAAATAATACTAACGACACATTATAACGCACTTTTCATTTCATTTTTATTTAAATGATTCTCTTTGAGAGTGGATCAGCGTCTTCCAGAAACGAAGATATTAACTTTGCCCAGGTGCAGCTTGTAGCATTAAGTTTTCAAGTTGATAATTAACTGTATATACATATAGCAAATACTTTACTCTTATTTAACAGTCTGTTTTGCTAATGCCTTTAAATATATAGACATAGAAACGTAAACGAAAATCAGAAAAAAATCAGAAAAATTAGATAGCTTAATCAGCTTGATACAAGCAAGATTTTTTTTAACTTTCCTTCTAACATGCTTAAGAGAATTGTACATAATTTTAATAATTTAACGTTTTATTAATTATTTTAAAATTATTTTAAAAGTCAATTTAATTTTTGTTTTAATAATTGAGAGGAATATTATGAATAATGATGGTGACATTACTTAAGCAGCCGATCAATTTGTCACTTCTAATCTTTCTAATCTCTCAGCTTCAGAAAATATCACAGAACTATAGTTCGTTATTATCTTAATTTTAAAATACTGAACCTTTTTCGCGTGATAATAATATAGAATATATTGTGACGTTACTTTTAGACGAATGTATTGATGTGTACGAATTAATTATTCTGAATCTATATTAGTGTGTTTCATATTGATTAGATTACGTACTTATTCTTATATTGTTATATAAATATCTGTGTGACTTGACGCGTGCCTTTATCAACGCAATGTAAGATGAATATTAATTAAAATAATAAATTATTATAGCGTGTCTTTTCGACGAATTTTTTCGATGTTGAAACATTTTGTGATATACAGAAATTTATTTGTGTAATATGGATACAATAAAGAGACGAAGTCTCTTATGTATATCAATATACATATGTATATCGTGCATATTCTATAAGTATATATGTACATATATAAAGTATATATTAACTCAATAAATCTCAAATTAATCATAAATAAATTAACGACGAGCAATAAATATATTTTATTTAAATAATATATTAAATATTTTATGAAATATATATTTTTTAATAATACTAATATTTTTTGTTTTTATACAAATAATGACTATACAATTTAAAACATTACACGAAACTCATGCTGGAGTTATATACATACTTTACGTATGTACATCAGAAGTGCCGATTTTTTAGAAAGATATTATTATAAGTATCGACAGATAGTTTAAATATAATCATTTCATCCACTACGTTACATCACTATAAAGAAATTTCAATGCGCGATTTGATCGCGATATTAAACAATCATCAAAAGGACAATTTACAACATTTGTGTAATGTTATCTATAATGGTAGTAAGATATTTGTAAGGTATTTGTGCGTCATGAATTTGTCATGAATATCAGTCATTACGGGAAGTGAACGCAATATACATTCCATTCTACATTTTCTCGAAATACACACATGTTACCGATACCGAAGTATATTTGTATCCTGAGTGGATATCGGATGTTTATTGTTGTTACCGTATCGCTCTTAAAAATAATGGAGAGTAAACATTTTTTTACTATATTTACTTGTAATGCTGTAATTCTTCGTGAGCTTTATTTGGCTCTAATAAGCTCAAAGAAATACAATAAAATGTTTCTGTTGAGCAACAGCAATTTTGTCTTTTGTATAAATAAAAATTTAGATATACTAACGAATATATACAGAAATATTATTTCGCTTCCAGCATTTCCACTGTATCCTTTTATTCCGTTATTTTAATAAATTTGGAATAAAAGACAGTTTTCTAAACTGTCATTTTATAACTGATTTCAATTGTTGTATAAAATCTTCTAACGGATAATTTAATTAAATACTTCGAATTTATAACTGTGTGCATCAATAATAAACATTATTCTCATACTTTCTAAAACTTTTAGAATGAATTTTACACTTTTAAAGAATAAAAATTGAGTCATTCTTTTTCAAGACTAGCTCGATATTCATTCTTTAACGTGTGAGATTTTACTCCAAAAAATTTAGAAAGTATGTTACTATAAAAGATGAAAATCATTTTGTCTGAAACATTCGTGAATTTAAAAGATTTCTTTCTATTCTTCTTTCAATCAATAAAGAAGTTGAGAACTGAAAGGATCGGACGAAAATACAAGTGAGATCGGAACGAAGGTGATCTACGAAAAGTCCATCGACTGTTACATGCTCATATAAGTACCATTACGAAAGGCGGTAGTCGAGGGCCATATGGAGCAACGGAGCGGCGGAGAATCCGCAATTATTCAATCATGGCCCGTGAAGCTGCGTTTGACGCGTCGTTCTTTCACCGTCACAGACATTTCGTAGAGTGTGCAGAAGAAGCGTATCTGTAATCTCGTCGCCGCGTCGTCGCACAATCTCGAAATTACAGTAATCACGGGAGATCAAAGGGATCAAAACGACGGCTTTCGTAAAAATATCGAGTTTAACTTCAGTCTCATTGACTGTGATTTTTCTAATTCATTTTTCGTGCTTCCATGTGATTTCGAAGAATTTAACGAGCACATCGTTTTCTTTACCGCAATTATTAAAAGTTTATAAAAACGTGATAGTTTCGTGAACATTTGTGTAACTGTATATAAAATTTATGAAGTGAACAGAGTTTAGAATAAATATCATCTATCTCTAACAGCTCCTAGAGTTAAATATTTAATCCATGTGAATAGATTGATTTTCATATAAAATTTCGCAGTCTCTCTCTCTCTTTCTCTCTCTCTATCTTTCTCATAATTTTTAAAATATCAAACCTACACTAAATGTGAATCTAACATTTGCCAGATTTCTGTGGGATGTTGGAGAACTCGCACGTGACGGGAAATAATACGACTAATTTTCTGTTCTAATTTGCAAATTTCTACAAATGTGCTCAGTATATTGAGTTACTGAATATCGAAAGAGTATCGTAATGGTGACATCAAAATCCAAAATTTATCGATTGTAAAATATCTGGTTAGAACAATTTTTGTTCGACGAAACAAACCTGTAATACAATGGATACGACGGATAACCGGCGAACATTTGATTTGGTTGATTCGATCGTATTCATCGGGTTGCTGGGTGTCTCTGCCCTCGTAGGCATCTATCAATGTTATGCGTCCAGGAAAAAGGCGGACGCCGTGGGAGAGTATCTTGTAGGCGGTCAAAAGATGTCTGTATTTCCGATAAGCATGTCACTGATAGCAAGGTAAAGATTTATTCCTTTTTTTATTTCTTTTTCTCAAGTTTTAGTTAAAATCTTGTACCACATAGCATCGAAAAAGTGTATAATTAAAAACATATGTTCTCTGAGACATCAAAATTTTTTTGCTTTTTATGCTTTGAAAAATATATGAAAATATTTTTATTTAAGAAGTTCATATATCCAGAAAGATTAAAAAGATACCTCTATTTTTATAATTCTTTTTGCAGAAACTACTAACTTTATTCAAAAAGAATTTTGATCAATATTACATGTATATTAGTATATTTTTTTTTAAAACTTTTAGAGTGAATTTCATTCTAATAGTGAATTCTTTTCCAAGAGTTCAATTTTACTCTTTAGAGTAAGATTTTCCTGTAAAGAATATAGCGAGTAAGTGTTACATAAAATTTTTAATAAAAAATATTTAAAAAAAATAGTATCATTACACTATTAGCACTAATAGTATACAAATAATTATCATAGATTTTATATAGTTGAAACAAAATACCCAACAAATTCTTAAAAAAATATATTAATAAATTTAATCTTTTGTCGTAACCGATTTTGATAAAATGGCAAATTTCTAAATTTGAAAAGTAAACTATTATTACTATGGATAAGTTCGACACTAATATCCACAGCTATTAGTACTTGTGCTATTTGTTAATAATTTGTTTCTAATTAAAAATTTTATGTATCTCTTACTAATATTACTGTTTGAATAAAATTAATAATTTTCGAAAAAATATTTTTTTACTTTTTGAATGTATGTCTGGCCTTAATCAATCTAACTTTATGTAAGCTTAGTGAATATGAGAGCATTAGGATATTGGTAGAAAAACTATTCTGTGAAAATATACATATAGGACATCTAAGGTGATGTTTCATAAGGTGTTCAATTCAATTGGCCGTCAAGGTTCACTAGTTCAGATCTAAATATTAATAGTCCACGTGTCAGAATAATCCGGATAAGAATTCGTTTTAAGAGCACCCTATATTAGTCAGAAGCCATTAATGTTTTTATTGATGGCAACTGCTATTTGCAAATTGGTTTACTTTTGATTTAAGCATATGTTCCTTATTAAAATTGTAAAATTGTAATTTTTATGAATTAAGATACATAATTTTTATTTTACAACTTATAATGTATAAAAATTAAAATTACATATGTATATTATATTAACACTTTA